TACAGAAAAAAAAGCACCCAAACTCATCAGAAAATGAGAAGAGATTAATAGAAATTTCCTCAAAGGAGAAACACAAATGGCCAAAAGGGACATAAAAAAGCTCTATATGACTAGCCATTGGGGAAATGCAAATCAATACAACAATGAAATATCACCTCACACCATGGAAACTGCGACTCATAAAAAAGAAGAACCAGTGTTGGCATCAATGCAGGGATAAAGGGACCCTCATTCACTGCTGATGGGAATGTTGGCTGGTTCATATTGGAAGAAAATACGGATATTCCTCAAAAAATTAGGAATTAAATCTGTATGACCTAGCAATTCTGCTCCTGGAAATATACCCCAAGGGCACCCAAGGGCCCAAAAAACAAACGCAAAAAAGACATCTGCACTCCAGTATTCATTGAAGCACTAATCCCAAGAGCTAAAATTGGGAAACAATTCAAGTGCCCAAGAATAACTGACTCGATAAAAAAGCCATGGAACATATAGAAAATGGAATACTACTCGGCCATAAGGTGAGATGAAGTCTGCAATTTGCTGATAAATAAATAGATCTGCAATGCATCATGCTGGGTGAAACAATGGAAGCAAAGAACAGAACTGCTCCCTGGTAGGAAACCTGTCATGGTGGCAGGAGGGGGGAAAAGGTGGGATAGGTCAGGAAAGGGACCACTACAACAACGATAGAGGGAAACCGTCATTCAGACCTAATATCTTATCAGCAACAGTATTATAAACCTCAATGACTAAAGTGTGTGCAGGAGGGGTGGGGGTGAGGAGGGTGGAAAAAAGAAAATAGTGCCTGCTACAGAGGCAGGCGAGAGGGTGGGCAAGAAACTGGGGACACTGGTGGAAGGAAGTAGACACTGGCAAAGGGCTGGAGTTGAAACACGGTACACCTGAAACTCAGTCATGAATAATTTTGTAAGTCTATAATTCATAGTGATTCAATACCCAAAAAATATTTAAAAAGGTCTACCTCAAAAGATTATACGGTATGTGACATTTCAGAAAAGGCAAGTTTAACAGGAAACAGACTTGTCAGAGGCTGTCAGGTGTTGAGAAGTGGGGTATCTTAGAGCAAAAGGAAAGATAAGAGAGTTCTTGATATCTGATGTGATCCGTATCCTATCTGTAGTGTGACTGCGGCACTGGTTTAAAAAAAAAAAAACTCTACGCATTGTAACTTATAATTCATAGAACATTATACCAAATAAAAATTCAACTTTCCTTCCCCCAAATAGGGCTGCTAGAAGCCAAATCCAGTGATAATCAGGGTAGCTCCTGACAGTGTTTGGAAGACCAGACATAGTGCTGGGGATCGAACCAGGGTTGGCCACATGTAAGGCAAACTCCTGAATCCCATATTATCTCTATGATCCTTGATATCTTTTTTGCTTCACTTAAACTTAAAATACTTGGTCAGGGTTGGTGAGATACTACAACAGGTATGCCACTTGCCTTGTATGTAACTGACCTGGGTTCAATCCCAAAACCACATATGGTCCCTGAACCCCACCAGGAGTAATCCCTGAATTAAGCCAGAAGTAAGACCTGAGCACAGCCAGGTGTGGCAGAGAGGAAGGGAGAGAAAAGAAAACAAGAGAGGGAGGGAGAAATGGCCATATTCACATCAATGGTAAAAATGCACAGAAGGGATGGCACTGAGAATGCCTTTCTTCCACTGAGAAATTATCCTCCTCAAAGCCATTTCCTGATTCCTTTTGCTACAGCTGTATTAAATTCCCCTCCCCCTATTTTTTTTACTATTTTAAAACATGCAATAACTTCCCTCTATCTTCCCAGTCAACAGTGCCTAACTAGTTATACCACTTCTGCCTAAGATCACATATTGGGGAGGCAGGAGCAATAATAGAGTAGGTAAAGCACTTGCCTCATATGCAGTTAACTCGAGTTCAATCGTCAGCACTATATAAGGTCTCAAGTCCCAACAGGAATGGTGCCTGACCACCGCTGAGTGTGGCCCCCATCACCACCACCCAAATATAAATAAATAAAACATTTGGGCCTGAGGAACATCACAGTGACTTAACAGCACCTGCCTTGCAAACAGTGAGTTGAAATCTCCAATGTCCCACATATGTCCAGTACAATCCCAGCAGCTTTCCTGTTTGAAGTGGCAGTTCTCTGTCTACAGTAAATGGCACCATGAACAATTCCCAGCTGCATAGCAGTCAGGTATATATAAGCACCACAAAAAGGGGGTGCAATCACCAGCAAGCATCGTAATTAAAAACATATGCTATGACCAAGAAGTTGTGACCCCCATAAGTACTTGTGCAAGCACCCCAACTAAAAAAGTGGCAGCAGGCCATACACCCTCCAGCAGGAAGGGTATTTGCTTTGTACACAAGCTCACCTGGGTTTGGTCCCCGGCATCCCATATGGTCCCCTGAGCACTGTCGTGAATATTTTTTTTTTCTTTTTGGGTCACACCTGGCGATGCACAGGGGTTAGTCCTGGCTCTGCATTCAGGAGCCACTCTTGACGGTGCTCAGGGGACCATATGGGATGCTGGGAATCGAACCCGGGTGGGCCGTGTGCAAGGCAAACGCCTACCCGCTGTGCTATTACTCCAGCCCCGTGAATAAAAATTCTTGAGTGCAGAGCCAGGAGTAAGCCCTGAGCATTGCCAGGTGTGGCCCAAAAACAAACCACAAAAAAAAAAAAGTACAAACCAGTGAGCACAACTGTGAACACCAAAACCAGATATGTATGCAACCTCCATCATTGCTAAAACAGCCAACAAAGGAATAGGGAAGAAAATATTTTTAAAGAAAAATATAGCATCATATTTTCAAAGTGAGTAAAATATTTCTCTTCAATTATTATAAACTACTAAAAGTCATGTGAATAAAACCCTTAGAACATGCCTAACATAGTAGGTTCCAAACATAACGTTGTGTGTGTACTCTGCAAATAAAATACTGATCCTAAGTCAATGTTTGGTCACTCCCCAAAATCATTTTTTGTTTTTGCTTTGGGAACATACCCCACTCTGCTTAGGGATCACTCCCTGGTATTGCTCAAGGGACCATATGGGGCACCAAGGATCAAACCTGGTTGGCTATGTGCAAGGCAAGTGCTCTGCCTACTGTACTTTCCCTTCGGACATCAAAACCACATTTAACACTGAGAAGTAATATGCTATAAAAATATTTCTCTATCCTTCAGAAGTGGTCAATCATTAATATATAAAGTCATAACAAATTCTAAAAGTTTCTTTCCTGAAATACACATACGAAAATCAGAGTGAACAAGCATTAACAGATGTTTGATGATTTGATTTCATATCAGCAGAGATATCCCTGTATAAAAAAGTAATCTTTTCCCATTAAAAACTGACTTAACGGTGCTGGAGAGTTAGTACAGCAGACAGGGTGCTTATCCTGAACTTGCCCAGCCTGAGTTTAATTCCAGCACTCCATAGGGCCCCCAAAGCACTGCCAGGAGTGATCCCTGCATCAAAAACCTTTTAGTAAAGGTGTGCCCGCAAAACAATAACAACAAGAAGTTTTTGAGGGGTAGGTGAAATAGTGTAACAAGTAGGGCTCTTGCCTTGCATGCCACCACTGACCCAGGTTTAATCCCGGGCACTTTACACGGTCCCCCAGCTCCCATCAGAAGTAATCCTGAAGCAGAGAGCCAGGAGAGAATCCTTAGCTCCACCAAGTGTGACCAAAACCAGAAAAATCCTTTAAGGATTTACACCCCTTCTCTTTCCTGTAACATACATAACTTAAAAAGAATTATCATTGCTATGATATATAGATTATAATAATCTGTCACAAATAATCAAAAATATATAAATTATAAGCTTATGAGTTCGTTTGTAAGTATAGTCTCCACATATAAATGAAAAATTTCACTGATTAAAGTCTTCTAAGTAGCAACATGCTTAAGTAAAAAAAAATTCAATTTAGAAAACTCATTTCTAAATAACCTCATTTATACACAAGGATCCTCAAAACTTTATTTTCAAGTGTGCATTTCAACTAGCAGGTTTGAAAAGCAAGTATGGCAACACTACACTACCAACTGTAGTATGCAACTAAATAAAAATATGTCAGACATTAAATAGACGTAATATCAAAGTAACTATGTTAGAATTCAAGCTAGCCCATCTAACTACAAATTTTATTTTTTTTTGGGGGGGGGGTTCACACCCCACAATGCTCAGGGGTTACTCCTGGCTCTGCACTCAGGAATTACTCCTGGCAGTGCTTGGAGGACCATATGGGATGCTGGGAATTGAACCCAGGTTGGCCGCATGCAAGGCAAACGCCTTACCCGCTGTGCTATCGCTACAGCCTATAACTACAAATTTTATGTATGTGGATATGTATACATTTACCATAGGTAAGTTTGCCAAGTAGGTTTTTTTCTTAGTTCAATTAAGTAGGAGTAAATTTATTCCATGTATTCACTGTCACTGTCACTCCCATTGTTCATCGATTTGCTCGAGCGGGCCCAGTAACACTCCATTGTGACACCTGTTACTGTGTTTGGCATATCGAATACGTCATGGGTAGCTTGCCAGGCTTTGCCGTACGGGCGGGATACTCTCGGTAGCTTGCCGGGCTCTCCAAGAGGGGCGGAAGAATTGAACCAGGGTCGGCCAGGTCAGCCACATAGCACACCCTACCCGCTGTGCTATTGCTCCAGCCCATTCCACGTATTAAAAAAACTAAAGTGAAAACTTATAAAGGCATCTGAAATAAATCAATTGTAAAATATAAAATGACAGCAAGTCTTAGCTCTTCCAAATTTTTAAACTGTTCTATTCTCCAGCCTTATATTTACAAATGTTGTTCTACCCAAACTACCTATAGTTATACAGAATAACAAATTGTGATGGTATTTTTCAATATACCATGGAAGGTACTTTAAGTAACAAAAAGTTCATCAATTTAATACTTTGTGAACTGATATGCATTCAGCAAAGAAACACCATTTATACTAATCATACATACGTTCTTTCCGATGCTCGACTAAGTCCACAGCTTGCTTTGCTGAGCATTTTGCAAACCAATTGTCTCCCAGTAAAACAGTGACTTCATTGGTATGAACAAGTTTTCCTGGCATGAAGGCAAATGGGCCAAATGGTACCTATTAATTTTTTTAAAAAATGAAAAGGCAAAATAAAATAATTAAACACATTTAAAATTACATCTTATGAAACAGCATTTAAAAACTTTTGAGGTTTTTATTTATACACTAAGAAAACTACAGTGTCAACCTTACAGAAAATGACTATTAAAATTCCACAGAAAATCTACACAAAATAATTTAGGTTAATAAAGCAACATTAAACAGGAAAAGAAGGGGATAAAGAAATAGTAAAGTAGGTAGGGCATTTGCCTTGCACATGGCCAACCCAAATTCCATCCCCAGCATTCCATATAGTCTGTCCCTAGAGCAGAGCCTGAGCCAGAGTAAGCCTTTAGCACAGACAGGTATGACCCACCCCTCAAAAACAAAAAACATTAGAAGACATCAGTACCACATTTACGAGAAGCTTTCCGAGAAACTAGAATTGTTTCTGGTTTTAAGTTTTGTTCCTTCACAAAACAAATAAAAGGAAACTAATCACAATGTATCAAAAGGACATATGCATATCATTATTCATTGCTGCACTCAGTACAATAGTTAAGATATGGAATCAACCTAGGTATCCAACGACAGATGAGGATTATGAAGATGTGGTACATATACACAAATGGAATACTCTGTATCTGCAAGAACAATGAAATCATGCAATTTGCTGCAACCTGGTTAGAACTGGAAGATATCTTGTTGAGTGAAGTAAACCAGAAGAAGAAATACAAACACAGGATGATCTCATTTATCTGTAGTATAGAGAGTAAAGGGATAAAGAAATATAATATAGCTAAAACAGGACACCCAAATCACCACTGATCCTGGAACTTAGGGAGAAAGACACAGAAACAAAGAAATTGAGGTGGGAGGGACAAGAAAGAGAAGTAACAGGAAACAGGGGCTGCGGCTTCAGTTGGACTGATAATGTGGGAGAGTGGTATAGTTACACATCCAGGGCACAGACTCAACAACACTGAAAACATGAGATATAAACTGCAACCACCAAACTTCGTAATAGGCCTGTGAAGGTGGCAGGCTTTGGTGGGGGATGGATGATGAAGTATGGGAACACTGTTGGAGGGAAACTGAAGCTGGTGGTGGGATTGGCGTTGAAATACTCTAGTCTAAAACTCAACTACCAATAACTTTATAAATCATTGTTCTTTAATTTAAATTTTTAATAATATATTAATAAAAAATACTTGTCTTTAAAATTTTAAAAATCATTTCAAAAAACTTTTTTGCAAAGCAGAAATTAATAGCTTTACTAAGCACAAAATTTACAAAATATCTCAGCAAGTACAATAGAGAATACATTTATAAGATTTTTTGGCTTAAGAGTAATTAAAAGTTTGCATCCCCATTCGCCCTTTCCTCCCTAGAAAGAAAGATGGCGGCCACATGGGAGCCTTGTGGACAGCAGGTATGAGCCGGGGGTGTGGGGGCGACTAAAACCTCATGGGAGGGGGGGGCGTTTCAGTCCACCCTTCACGCCCTACCGAGGCCACCAGTTGCCCCCCATGAGCGGCTCTCCAGCACGGCCACGACTCCAGAGCACAGAAACCAATTTCTTAACTATCTGACTTTCAGTAGAAATACTTCCAGGGTCAATAAGTAAAATAGCAGAAATCCAAAACCAACATTTAATTCTTGAACCCAGCTGTAGAAAGCAAATCACTTCACAATGCTTTTTCAGCATGTCCGATTTGGGGGGCAGGGTAAACTCTAAATAATAGTGGTGAATCTTTTATTGAAACAATGAATCTAATCAAAGCAGATAGAGTGTTAACTAGAATTCATCTGCCCCACAGGGACTGGGAGGGGTGGGGGTGGGGTCTTATTGGGGTTCTTCATGGTAAAAAATAAGTATTGGTAAAGGGAAATGTGTTTGATATTTGCATGACTGAGACCTAAACCTGAAAGCTTTGTAACCTTTCCCACAGTGATTCAATAAATAAATAAATTTTTAAAAAAAAAGTTTGCATGAAAAATAATATTCATCAATGAAAGAATCTAATGCAGAGCTAAGAGACTGCTATGTTCATACAAAGATTATTTAAACAAAAATTAGCATTATCTTTTTATATAAAAAATCAATATTCTAAGGCTTTATTCTGAAAAATATTTATGAACTTATTTCTGGTTCTGACAAAAAACAACTGAGTCTCATATTACTATAATAGTTTTCTAACATAAAAATTTGCATACTAAATATGTCAGGTTGTGTACTAACATTTATGCGCCATGTTACCATAATGGGCTGGAGCAATAGCACAGCGGTAGGGCATTTGCCTTGCGCGCAGTCAGCCCAGCAGAGCCGGGTTCGATTCTGCTCCTCTCGGAGGGCCCGGCAAGCTACCGAGAGTATCTCACCCGCACAGCAAAGCCTGGCAAGATACCCATGATGTATTCAATATGCCAAACACAGTAGCAACAAGTCTCAAAATGGAGTTACTGGGCCCAATGACAGTGCTACAGTGCAGTGCTACAGTTACCATAATGTGATGAGTTACTATAAATTAGACAAGAAAAAGAAATAAATCTTCACTTTGATAATTAGCATATTATGAAATAAAACAAAGTTTACTTATTATGGTATAGTCCATCTTGTGCAAATCAATATACATACAATAAGGAAAAATCTTTATACTTATCATAATTAATGTAGCTAGAAGAAATAAACTGTGTTAAGGGAGTAGAGAAAGTGCTTGACTGGTACACAACTGACCCAGGTTCAATGCCCAACATTCCATATGGTCCCCCAAGCACAACCAGAAGTGATTCCTGAGCACAAAGCCACAAGTAACTCCTGAGTACTGCCAGCAGTGGCACAAAAACAGAACAAAAACAGAAATATACTGCTTTAAAATAATAACACACTAAACATACCATGATATTATAAGACAACTTATCAGGTAAAGTACTGAGTCTTTCCTGCAGAGCATTATAATCACTATCCACCTTCTTCCTGTTGACAGAAAAAAAAAAACCTGAATGAATAAATAGCAATTTTTTAGAATAATCAGAATACAAATCAAAAATCCAATTTTATCAGTTGAAAGATTAATGGTATAATTTTAAATCCAGTTTTTACAAAGTTTGGCAGTGACATTATTTCATAATACATTCATCAAAGAATTAAGACTCAGACTCTGGCTTTTAAAAGTCACTCTTATAGTGTTATTTTTCAAGGCAGAAGACCATTTTAGACTTTTTAAAATTCTGGATATTAAGGAGGAGAGTAAAGAAATGCCTAAAGTGTTAAGGGGAACAGTAACGCAAGATAAAATACTATATCTTAAAAGTCAATAAACATTAGCTATATAGAGTAGAAAGCATAAACATGAAATTGCTAAAAAAAATTCAGTCCCCAGAAAATTTTCAAAAATGTGGAGTCATCAATCCTTCACTAATATGATTTTAAGGTAAAAGAGGTTCAAACGGGAGCTAGAAAAATCATGTAGAGGTAACAAAGAAACATTTCAATTTTGCCTTGGAATCTCTTTCATGTTTTAGTAAAAAAGACCTCCTGTATATTGAAAAATACAATATATTCTATAGGAGGTGGGATGGTCATGTTTTCATACTGCCAACCCTACTCAGTCCTTACATCATCTGGAAATCAACAGCCCTGTGCTTGTTCAACCTTCTCTAAAGATTGGATCTCTTATATAGGCTGAAGGCAAAACTAGTGCACTGAAATTTTTTTGTTTTTGCTTTACTTTGGATGGGGGCGGGGAGAGACTGGGAGAGGCACCACACCTGGCAATGCTCAGGAGTATTCTTGGCAGGCTCAGGGGACAATATGAGGTGGCAGAGATCAAATCCAGGACAGCAGCATGCAAACTCCCTACCCACTATACTATCTCTCCAGCCTAAGCACGGTGAATATTTAAAAAGGAGAACGGTAAAGTCAATTTTTTTTATAACAAAACTTTAAACTCACCAATTCAACAATTTAAAAGGGCCTGTACAAATTGTGAAATTAAAATTAGAATAAATTGTAAAACAGAGGGGCAGAGCAACAGAACAGTGTGTAGGGAGCTTGCCTTGCATGCAGCCAACTCAAGTTCAATCTTCAACATCCCATATGGTCCCCTGAGCCCATCAGGAGTGATTCCTGAGTGCAGAGCCATGAGAAACCCCTGAGCTCTGCCAGGGATAACTCCCCAAATTTAAATAAATAAATAAATAAATAAATAAAGCTGTTAAAAAATTTTAACACTGGTACTCATTCTCCACAATAATGAAAGGACTGATTAACAAATTACATGGTATTGGTTTCAGTTTACCACTTACATCCCCTAAATGGAAACATAATTAATAAAAAATATCTAATCTTCATAATATCATGATATTATTATTCATCCTAAAAATATTCTTGTGGTAAATGTCATTTGTTAACATTTTCCTCTTACACAAGAGAAAGCAGGAGATAGTAAATCCCCAAGAGAAATCTTCATACCAAGGAAGTGAGCAATGAATTCATCCTGTTCTTCTGAACTATAAACTTTCAAGCAGCTTCTTAATTTTCAAGTATTCACACTTTTTTAAATAAACTTTCCCCAAACAGCTATTAAAAAAATATCTTTTCATTAAAAACTTTATTTAAAAAATTCAGAAATAATTCTTATTGGGGGTGGGGGAGGTTTGGCAGTGCTCAGGGGCTATTTCATGCTCTGTACTCAGGAGTGATGCATGGAGGCGCTTGGGGACCATATGTGGCTCCCTGTGTGTTTATAAAAAGTTACTCTAGAAGCCAGAGCAATAGTACAATGGGCAGGGCACTTGCCTTGTACATGGCTGACCCAGATTCAATTCCCAGCATCCCATATGGTCCCCCAAGCACCACCAGGAGGCATAAATGAGTGCAAAGCCAGGAGGAACTCCTGAGTAGCGCAAGGAGTAGCCAAAAACACAAAACAAAAAGTTACTCCAGGTTTACAGAAAAATCATCCTGGAAAAAAATCGAAACAAATTTGTAAAATACTCCTACACTGTAGGATGACATTGGTTTGTCCTTCCTCCCTTGCCACAAGGAACTCAGGTTTATTACAGTGCTCCTGAGGCACTTCCATTCCATTGTGTTTATCTGTAAACTCTTCCCTATGCTCTCCTCCCCAACCAGTTAATCAGCTTCTTCCCCAATCAGACTCTGTTAACTTGTAAGGTCAGATTCCTCAGAAATCTATGATTTTATATGTATGAGTGAAATACTGTCTTTCTCCTCTCCTTATGTCTTGTGAATAGTTTAAAGCAATGTCCTTTTTGTATAGATACAGGAAGACAGTTAATATTATGCTTTGTAATTTAGGATTTAATTGGCTTTGAAAATTATTCACTCCTGGGCATCTGCTTTCTTGACTTAAGCCTCAGTTGCCCTTAGTTCCTAGCACCCCAAAAGCAGGGTCCCGACAAGGGACTGAATGGACCCAGGGCAAACTGTGAGCTACCCTGGCATCGAAATGGGCCAGGCCAAAGTGCTATGATTCTTAACTATAAGTTAAGAGCTTGATCATAGACAAATGCTGTCATGATCCAAAACTAACGATGAGACTAGGACCCTGCTAGGGGTTAGGAAGACTAACCTGGCCTGAGGACTGTGGTACGGTCTACATATACATTATATATATATATAATATATATATATATATATAGAGAGAGAGAGAGAGAGAGAGAGAGATGTCCTCAGAAGAACGAAACCTTAAGTTTATATCTCTTACTGAGCTCATACAGGATGACATTGCTAAAAATATTAGAAGTAGATTTATTACAACTATTTAAGTGGATTACTAGCTGAGGAAAGAACACACCCTTGTTGGGATCCCACCCTTGAACAGATCTCCTAGTAATCTGAAGTAATCTCTTTAGATGAGATTTTATCCTTGAGTTAATCTCCTGGAGGAGTGGTCTTACCTCTCTTTGTTGATTTGTTAATGTTCAACCCACCTTTGTGTCTGTCACTACCCTACCTGATTGCTATATAAACTAAGACTAAGCCCCGAGGGGAATTGAACAGATCTCCTAGTAATCTGAAGTAATCTCTTTAGATGAGATTTTATCCTTGAGTTAATCTCCTGGAGGAGTGGTCTTACCTCTCTTTGTTGATTTGTTAATGTTCAACCCACCTTTGTGTCTGTCACTACCCTACCTGATTGCTATATAAACTAAGACTAAGCCCCGAGGGGAATCGGGCTCCAGAGGGCAGAGTCAGAAGTGAGAGGGGATCGGGCGAGAGAGAGAGAGAGAGAGAGAGAGAGAGAGAGAGAGAGAGAGAGAGAGAGAGAGAGAGAGAGAGAGAGAGAAGCAGAAGGGGAGTGAAGAGTGGAATAAACTACAATTGATACCGACCAGGTGAGGGAAGCAGGGTGAGACTACTGAATGAGAGAGAGAGAGAGAGAGAGAGAGAGAGAGAGAGAGAGAGAGAGAGAGAGAGAGCTGCTGGCCTTTTGAAAGCACACACTACATAGAAGTAAAAACAACACATGGTTTTGAAGACAGACCAGAGGGTTAATCACAGTTCTACCAGTTATTTTTACAAACTAACCCTAGTCTTAATATCATCAATGTCAGAGCTACAATACTGCATATCTCAAAGGTTCAAAATTACCAAACTTAAATGACCTGTCTAGCACTGAGCACCTACTCTTCAGTATTCATAATTCTTTTTCCATAAAGTATCAGAAAACATCAATTCTAAAAACTTCAAAGAAAAGCTATTATCCAGTTAATAAGATATCTATAAGATAGACTTGACATTCAATATCTTATTTTGGTAAATATAACTAAAAAATAAAAAACCAAAGGGAATCCCTAACAAATATCTATTCTCTTTATGAAAATAACAGTATATTTAGAGAGTCAACATAAGAGCTCAACAGTACTCCTACTTCTCTCCAGAATACAATATGGACATGCTGGAAAACAGTTTAAGATTAGAGGTGCTATTTCTAAATTTTGAGTTGTTTTCTAAAAGTACAAAAAGAATCTAAAATGCAGTCCATGGAGAAATTTCATTTGAAAAGAGGCCAGCAGGAGTCAAGAAATGATTCTAGGAACTCTCTCTCTCTCTCTTAAAAGTTCCCCCAGCACTAGTGGAAGTAATAAGCATTTAGTCAGAATTACCTCCAGTCTCTCTAACAATTGAAACTTAAATAATCCCACTAAAGACTACAAAGACTATGCAACAGAAAACTAGAAAAATTATCTAACAAAAGTATTAATAAGCATAAATGTTTATCTGCACAATTTGAAACAGACTCTTTTACTATTTTACATTATGGACATACAAAATATGTCACTGTCACTGTCGTCCTGTTGTTCATCAATAGTTCAAGCGGGTCCAGTAACGTCTCCATTGTGAGACTTGTTGTTACTGTGTTTGGCATATTGAATACATCACAGGTAGCTTGCCAGGCTTTGCCGTGCGGGTGGGATACTCTCGGTAGCTTGCCGGGCTCTCCAAAAGGGGCGGAGGAATCGAAGGCAGAGAAATCGAACTCGGGTCGGCCGCGTTCAAGGCAAACACCCTACCCATTGTGCTGTTCCTCCAGCCCAAATAATATTAAGATAAACTTCAAGTCTTCTAATACATGGGACTTTTTTATTTAATTTCACCACATTTGGTCCTTATAGATTGGGTTCAGCCTCTCTAGTCTTTAAAACAATTCTCCAATGAGAGAGAGAGAGAGAAAGAGAGAGAGAGAGAGAGAGAGAGAGAGAGAGAGAGAGAGAGAGGGCAGATTAGGGATGGGGGGGCAGTCAGGGAGGGAAACTGGGAGCACTGGTGATGGGAAATATACACGGGTGTTGGAACACTATATGACTGAAACCCAATCATGAACAACTTTGTAGTGATTCAATTAAAATATAAATTTTATAAATTTTAATATAAATATTAAATATAAATATTAAAAATTAATAAAAAATATATTTTTAATTCTCCAGTAATTATTTTATTGTAGATCT